TGAACATAAAGATAAGAAAGAAAAAGAAAATATTCATTTTGTATTCATAATGTATAATTCAACATTTGTCTTGAATCGATATGAGTCTAAATATTAAAAAAACCGATTAGGTAATTTCTATGTGTAATATCTAACTTACTGTTAATGTTTCATCAATATGAGCTTGAACTTGTATGTTGCTTACGATCAGAAACTATGACTTTCATCGTGCATATTCGACCTGAGAAGAAATAGAATAAAAATCGTTTAGCGAATTCAAAAATGTCTGCCAGCAGAAAACTAGTATAATGCTTTTCGTCTGTCTATTTTCAAACCAGTAGTAAAAATGCAATCTCTCGAAGAATCGTAATATGAATACGACAAATTATACTACAGTGAAAGTGTACAATACTCGAAAACGAGTGTATCTTTAGAAATCTGCAGATTACAGACCTAATGTTAAATTTTTATTCAACTACAAAGTAAGGAAGAAACTGAGGAAAAAGAGGATGACTCTAGAACCACGATTCATTGCTCGTTTAACGATAATGTACACACATATTGCTTAAATGCCATATAAATAACAATTATCTGTCCAGATGCTCGCTCAAGTTGAAGTATTTTCTCTGACTTGAAAGCTTTCGATCATGAGATTTTTAGGAATAAATCTATTATAATGATCATTGTAAATCGGAAGCTTCTAGAATGCTCACTCTCTGAGACTATTTAAAAACAATAATGGATACACTTGATTGCTATTTTATTGAAATATAATGAAATAAGGCAAGAAAAAAAGATAAGTTTTACGCTAATAGTATTATTTGTTTGCAAATAGTGACCATAATAATTTTCTTCATATATACAAAGTTTAGACTGGCTCAAAAATGTAACGATCACATTAGATTATTTCGAAAGTACAAAATGATATCAGGTTTCGAAAAAAGAATGATGCAAAGAAAAAAAATGCTCCGTAATTAAATAAGTTATGTTGTATAAATGAACAGCTATCAGTTAATTAATAACTGTTAAACTGAGCAAAAACGAAGAGCAAAAAAGAAAGTTACAGCACCAAAAACTTTCTTTTGGGAAACTTTTGAACTATGGTCACGAACTTTTTGTGAAACCTTTTGAAAATCTTTGAAGTTTGGGAAATGAATTTCGATTTTCCATTAGAATTTTTAAGATTCAGGATTTTCGAAAACTCTCCGACAACCGAAAAGTTATCTCCGCAAACTTTTTTGGATATCAACTCAACTTTTCTGGCAGTATTAATTTCTTATTATACCTTAACTGTTTCTGAAAATACCATTAAGTTTCAGATAGCAAGAGAAAGTAATTGTAAATTACTTTTCGGGTGTCGAAATCGGCATTTTCAAAACTTCAGAAAACAAAGAAGGTATATACAGAAACCCTCCAAGTGTCCTAAAAACTTCTTGCAAACGTTTAAAATTTTGCGAAAAGGTCCTCAAGCGGGTTTGAGCTTTTAGAAAACTGTTGGAATTACCCTCCGTTGTTCACTATCATGTGTCCTTTTGGAACAAAATGAGAGAAAGATTATATGAGTATTTCTCAAAGAGTCGTCTGGATTTGACTTCAATAAATCGATATAAGAGAAAAGTTCTTGTCTGATCGATGGAACGAGTCATAGTCGTGAAAAAACGATTGATGAACAGTTCATCGCTGAAGTTTCTCATAATAGAGATCAAGAGCCTTTGAGTTCAATTTCTCTCTATAACAACGAAATTTCGACATCCGTATTGAATACGCTGCTTTGTGGAAATATCATTTTACATTTTCTTTTTGTAACGAGACGAAATGCAAAGGAAGAAGAGAAAGGTATGGGGAGAATATCATAGTGAAAGAAGCGAACACGTGCAATCAAAAGTGTATCCTTATGAAAATGTTATGCTTCATTGATGCACATAATGAGACACCATTTAGAAAAAAAGCGATTTCATCATCGATTGATACCTCGCACAGTCGTTTGCGAACCCGTAAAAAACAAACATCATATATTTCAGTATCATTATATACGTGAGTATACTTTATTTTCAACTTATTGAAGAGACATTCTATGAGATAATCAAGCGATTTTCAACAGGGTCATACTCTTAAAAAAACGAGACTTGCTTCTCTCTTTCTTTTATTATTGTACTAAGGATTTTTAATAAATTCTGTTTTCTTGAAAATTGAGTTAGCAAAAGTTCACACATTTTCAATAAATTATTAATCGTCAATGGATTTTATAATTTCCAGAAAGGGCTTGACTCTCAGAAAATAGAATTTCATCTGACTGTCTGGATAAAAATATTTTCGAATACATCGAGAATCAGCAACATTTTTTACGACGTTTGGAAATTAATTTCAATTTTATAGAAAACCAATCTAAAGTCTGAAAAAAGGGAAAAACCAATATTACTTTTTGGAATATTCTTTGAACTATGAAAATTTCAGAATCATTCTTTAATCATATATATAAGTCAGTCGATGGTTTCGAGAATATATCTTCTTCCAGCAGTTGCATCAAGTATGTGAGTTACATCAGATGCAGCCAATGCATTTTAGTTCGTTCTATAATAACAATAAAAAAAGCAATAAATTATTTTTTTATTGATGATCAAAGTTGGTAAATAGATTTTTTTTTGAAAACATTTGTGAGAATTTCCTTTTTTTTAAAATTTTTGGTCTATACGTGATACCTCGTCTATCGTCCTTTCATTCAATATTGATTCTTCACTTCAAGAAACTTTTCTTGTAACGAAAGTATTCATTTTATATAATCACATTTCCAATAGAAATCGTGCATATTTAATTGGGTACTTAAAAGGAATTTCTCAGCAACTATGATTTTACTTTTTTTTTGTTTTGTAAGTTAATTCTGTTTTCTTCTTGATACTGTTAAATCACAAAGTCTTAAGTAATGATTGATTTTTTTCTGAATTCTGTATACACTATTGGTCTATCAACAGATTTCAGGCTGTCCGTAAAATCGATATAAAGGTGCGAAAAGCAATAATTGGTATTCCATTTTTTTGGAAAATTTCCAGAATGCGTAATCAAGTTCCATATTTTAGAGATGTTCATACGGATACGATCGTGATTTTTTTACTTAAAAAATTGACATTTTAATATAGACCTTGGTGAAGGTATCATCAGATTCTAGTATTTGAATCCCAGATTCGCCTAGAAACTTGTTATAAGTGTCCTTCTCCTTTGCTGCAGAAAAAAATCAGATTTACAGGAATATTTCATAAAACTTACAGCTACATTCAAAACGCAAATAATCAATAGTCCACCTACTCCGATGAATCAAAAAACAGGAAAACTGATGTTTACACAATAGATTTGACAGTCAAAAGAACAGATTGTAGAAATCAGTGAAGCTGGTTAACTTGTATTCGAAACTAAAATAGAACACTTGGAACAAGTTCCTAGGTGGTTACAGTGGAAATACTCGAATCTGGTGACACTTTCATCTACGTTGAATATCAAACTTTCGTGAATAATGTATTTTCTAAAAAATTGAAATCGATAGTCGAATCCCTATGGGTGTTTCTGAAATATCGTTTTCTGTTCTCTACACTTTATTTTCTATTTCACAATGTGGAAACAAAAATCCATGTTTAGAAACTTATCCATTCAAAGTTTCGTCTCATTAACTTGTAACTGTCACAAGTTCTTGCGAACGGACTAAAGAACAGTACTGTTTTCAGAAAAAAAATTTCTTTTTCGTGTTTTCTTTAATAGCTGTTAGAGAACGATATCTATCGTTCCAACAGTTTCTACGTTGTTTTCATCTTTTTTCTGTTTCTATGTGATTCGTCATCGATATTATAGAAGTGTTGAGTTAAGTTTCATTCTGTCGGTGGAGTCGTCTCCACTGAGAGCGAAACGACTATATTGTTTGCTGTTATAATTGGTTTTTTCGTTACCGTTATTAAAATAAACGGATATATGCTAACATCGGTGCCATGACTCAGAATATTCATAAATAAGATCTGCGAGTGAATATTATTAATAATCCACAAATATGTTATAAGAGCAGTTGGAACAGCCTTTCGTCAGGATTGATCCATCTAGAAACGTTAATTGCTGTTATCAAGTGCACTGCTCAACGATTGAGTATATTTTTTATTTTATTGTTTATGTCAATCAATTCTAATAATTAAAAATCCGTAACAACATGCTATGTACGTTTCTTTTTCTCTCTGTCTGACTTGTGTCACCATGGATATGATAGCATTAACTTTATCTTTCATTTCATTTCATTTTTTTCTTTCTGTTGTTGTTTTTGTTTTTTTTCCTCACTTTCATCTTGATATTTCGTTGCTTTTTTCCTTTGCATTTGTTTTATCCTTATTTCGTTCATTTATATTCTTACTCAGCGATTATGCGGGTTATGATATAAAATATCGTCGTTTTCTCAACTTTCACTGTATCCATTCCTCTCTGCTTATGGCTGTGGGTAGTCTTTTGATGCATACTCACACCCCACCCCAACACACCTTTAAAAATGTTAACTTGCTTAAAATTAATTTTCTTTATGTTCAGCAATGAGAGGTAGCCTACACACCCACACCCTAAAGCTCTTAAACAGATCGATTAGTAAGTATGCATGATCCATTAGAATAAATTTTGGAGCACGAGGAAACATTTCAATCAAGCTGTATTTCTTGCGGCAAAACTAAAATGACTTCCACTAATAGAAAATATTTGTCCGCTGCAGGCGTGCGCAGAGAGACCTTGCTTTTCTTTCCTTCAAATACTCAAGAAGATGTATAATGAAGTTTTGCGAAAGGTTCTGGATATATGTGAGGATGGGGAATAGGGTGTCTTATTTTTACCAAGACAACGACACCCACTCTCAACCATCATTTAGTTACGGTGTTAGGCTTCTTGATATATCATTCCAGATGCTAGCGACAAAAAAAATCAGAGGTCGTAGTCAGCATCTAATTATATGTTATCATTGCTAGGTTTTGAAGTGATCAGCGATTGAACCGTAATTTGCTGTTGTACGGATGGCTTCGAAATACGTCAACAATGAATCCAAACACACGCAACGTTTTGCGGATATTCCGGGAGAACCAAGACGAATGCTCGGACCTATTCAAGGCTATGACAAAATGCCACTCGTCTCACTAGAACAAGCAGTGGAGCCGCTCGTATCCTATGTACCTGATGTCAAACGAATGGTATGGACCGTAAAACAAAACTGTGGTTCACCTGCTGATGGTTTGACCGTTGATCAATCAGCATCGATTATGCTCTACACGTTGGAATGGACACCTAGAGAGTACTCATTCTACTTTGTTTTCAATACATTCTTGCGCTCTGAAGACCGAAATAAGCTGAAACCGTGGTTTTTCTACTTAAAATTACTAATTATTTCACTATCAAAACTTCCCTCTAGTCTTCGTACCGTTTATCGAGGTGTCAAAGCGGACTTGCGTGCCTTGTATCCTAAAGGTCAGACATTCGTTTGGTGGGGATTTTCCTCGTGTACTACCTCAGTCGAAGTGTTGCAAACCGAGGAATTTCTTGGCAAGAAAGGCACCCGTACTATGTTCAATATCGAATGTCTTTCTGGCAAAGAGATTCATCGACACTCATTTTATTCGACAGAAAATGAAGTTCTTCTTCTTCCTGCCCGACAATTCCAGGTGACTTCTTGTTTCGACTCTGGCAATGATCTTTATATAATTCAACTGAAAGAAATCGAACCACCGTTCCCTCTGCTTGAGCCGGTAAGTGCACTCAATTGTTTGCCTTTTCGTCTATCATGCACATAATGCTATCATGCTTCTTTACCTAGGTTGAAGATAACTTAGTCGCAGTTACCACACCCAAGTCTCTTCCACCGTCTAAGACGTCCAGCAGGTAGTAGCTCTGAATTATCGTTCTAAATTCTGACATCTGATATTTGCTTTATTTTAGCACTTCGAGTTCAAAACATAAAATCAAAAGTGAGTAAAGATCATGGTGTTCATAGACACAGAAACCTTCTCTCTTTTCAACAGCCGATTCTGAACGTCATTATGAAAGGCACAAACGATGCATAGTCGCAAAACCTTGTTGAGGGCATGCGAATGGGTGTGAGCATCCAAAAGGAATAAGGTGGATAGATGAGCAACTAGGTGATTGGTTGTGTAATTTCTCTCAACCCATCTTCCCTGAAATGAGGCTTTCATGCAGGAAAGGGCCAAGAAATTTAGCAGATGAGCAACGTCAACGTAACGTCGTAGGCTATATGTTTCAAGACTTGCATCTAAGTTCATCTCCAATTTTCGACATAAAATTAGAAGCATCTCATCTGTCTCCGACAGCTTGTTTTTCAAGTTCACTATCCTCTCAATTTTTAGAAATGCAATAAACATACTCTACCTACCGTAGGGAAAATCTTTGCTGTTTCCGTGCGGAATCCTTAACAGATCGAGACAGGATCATTCAAGAATTCGCTATTTTTCCTGAGGAAACGACTAAATCCTGAAAAATCGTATGGTCACGGTACTTCAAGATTATGGCAGTATTCGATCAGGACCATGAACAGATTATCATGGTTTTTGAGTGAGGATTCGCCCAGAAAATAGCGTGGGTGCGGGTTTCGATGAAATAAAAGGTTAGACCCACACCCATACCCTTAATGTCAAATTTATCTTGAGAAGATCTATGTGAGGTGAAAACAGTACTGTAGTATTGTTTGCACTACAGCAGAATAGTCCGAAATACCGCTCTGCTAACAGAATGCGCTTTCAAATTTATGACAGTTTCTGAGTTAGAACATTTGCTTTACTTTCCATATTGGTCATTAAAATAGAACACATTTGTAGTCTATATTTTGCTCTATCTAATGAGACCTTGCCGAGCTTGAACCATTCTGTCGTTTCTCGAATAATGTCAAAATATAGAACATACCCATTTTTAGGAATCAGTAGTGGCTAGAAAATTGAACTTACATACTTGGTACAGCTTTTTTTTACACGTAGAACCAAATGATCTAATATTTTGAAATTGAATGTGATTCGACTGTATTTTTTCTTTTATGATAGCTGAATAGACAGACAATCAAAAGCTTTTCCTTAATGGTCACGTCAGAAGTCCTCTCATAAGGATGTTGATGAAAGCACTACTTAACAAAGTTGACTCAATATTTTAGCTATAGCAAAAATGCTGATAATTTTGTACTATTAAGACCGCAGAGCAAGGAACGCTCTGTCGAATAGGTTATTCCACCACATCGAGCAATTTTAACTTTTGAAATAAACAAGAGCACAAGCTAATACTGTATTTATGCGCAGTGAACAACGAGTGAGAGCATAGTTGAGACTAAACTGTTTTTAGCGCTAAAGTAAAATTAAGCATAATCTGATGCGCTGTCTCAGAAGGAATTCCCGAGTATGATATTGGATTTTACTTTACATCTTGTGTGAAAAAGCAAAATTACCGGGGACTATTGCAGAAAATTTTGCAAAAAAATCCATTCAAACAAAACCTTTTTGACAACTTCTTTATCAAAATGCTTAGAATTACAAGCTCTACAAACTCTAAAATTTCCATCAAAATCAGTGATCAATTTTATACAATGTGGTTGAATTCATGTTGAAATATTCAGAAAAAAAGTTTCTCGATCTGTGCGTATTAAGGAAGGATACTATCGACGGTCTCAAATACATTATAGAAATTTGTACCAATTGCTCTCTCTCTCTGGAAGAATGTCTCATTCGTAGCTGTTTCTAGTGAAGGAGATTTCACCGACAATGATGACGATTCCTATACTTTTCCTTCATTGTAGTAGTACTTCACATTTTAGCTAATGCTCAATGGGCACCGAATGGAGTAACGGTTGCAGGACGTCGTGAAGCAGGTAACACCACTGATCGACTCAGCAAACCTTACAGTCTCTTCATCACCAATGATCAAACTGTAGTCATTGCTGACACGGACAATCATCGCATCATTCAATGGAAGATCGGTGATCCGAATGGACAAGTTGTAGCTGGTGGCCATGGTAAAGGAAATGGATTGGATCAGTTGAATTGTCCCACCGATGTACTGATTGACAAAGATACAGATAGTCTCATTATCTGCGATCGATGGAATCGACGAGTTATGCGATGGTCTCGTCAGAGTGGCACCAGCCGAGGAGAAATTCTTTTCGACAACATCCTTTGTTGGGGATTGACAATGGATGATCAAAGATATCTTTACATCTCTGACAACGAAAAACATGAAGTGAGACGATATCAAATAGGAGATAAGAACGGTACTATAGTAGCCGGTGGCTATGGCAAAGGTTCTGCCCTCAATCAACTCAGTGAGCCAAGACATATATTTGTCGATCGACAACAGGCTGTCTACGTGTCAGACAAAAACAATCATCGTGTGGTCAAATGGAATAAAGGCGCCAAAGAGGGAATTATTGTCGCTGGCGGTAAAGGCAATGGGGAGGCTCTCACACAATTGTCACACCCTAGTGGGCTGTTCGTCGATAAGTTGTGTACCGTCTACGTGGCAGAACAATGGAATCATCGAGTGATGCGTTGGATAGAAGGAGCGGATCAGGGTACTGTTATTGCAGGTGGGAATGGTGAAGGGCAAAAAGAAAATCAGTTTTACTCTCCCATGGGTATATGCTTCGATCGATATGGTCATCTCTACGTTGCTGATTGTGACAATCACCGAGTACAGAGATTTTCTATTGAACAGACTCATTAACGTCATTAATTATTTTTATTCGTATCAAATAAATATCAGTCAATAAAAAAACCAACAATTGAAACAAGAAGGAATTTCATTTTTTT